ACCTACCACGTTTTGACTCTTAGTATTTTTAGCGCTTTTCAACGTTCCTAGTCAGCGGACACTTTCTGTATACCCGCGGTTACAAGCTAGATTACAAAAGGCGGCCATCGAAAACTTACAGTCATGTGTTTGGCCGAGTTCGGTGATGAATCCGAATTCTGACAGGTTTGCACGTGTTTTTTTCTTGGAAAAAATAACCCTCCGTTTTACTGCATTTTCGTGCCCAATATGTCTACTGTCTTCCAGATTACCAGTCCGTTCTAGAAGTCAGACACTTATGAGGAACCGAAGATTTACCACTTATGGTTGTATATTTCCTTATGTATCGGACTATTTAGTACAAAAAGTGGAGGGATTCTTGAGTTTTGACCGGTTTTACTTATTTCTTTCTTTGAAGTGGGTTCTTTTTTGACGTAGGGGTGACTCAAGAGGTGGATGAGTGACCTTCCGTTAGATAAATAGAGCATTAGAAATTCGTGTTGGATATCGTGCTCGTGGCACTGTTTCATTTTCTCACCCTCCATCAACTTACAAGCTCTGATCCTCACATAGAGAACACGTTCAATAAGTCATGGACGATAATTTGAAGAAGAATGTAAATGCTACGAGATAACAGCCTAATAAAGTATATAACATTTACGGAGTAACCGCAAATACTGACTAGACGTTGGTCTGCATCCATTGAAAGCCAAACATTGGACGAAACAGTAATTCTCCTCTGGGCTGCGGAAACTGGACGAACGAGTTTTGGTTTGGTGCGTTGATTAAAGTAACGTTCTTATGGAGACTATTTTGAATGATACGAACGAATTATGGGTGCTCTTAAATTTCTCATATACTCTGTCGAATTACCACATTGATAAAACGTTAGAAATGAATGTGAAATTAGAAGTATGTTTTGAATCGTACACTTCATAATTTACACAAACAGTAGGCAAATAATAAGGAAACGAGGAGTGTGAAATGTGACATTTAGATGAGGTCGGAAAAGTAAAGGTCGAACCAGACTTTATTTAGGACGGACTGTACACAAACTGCATATATTCAGTTAAGTTGTATCTGACAGACATTCAAAATTCAGGCCTTCATAGAAATCATATTGAGGTAATGGTTGTATTTCATCAACGTAGATGATCTATGTCAAATAATTGGAAGCCTACTCGAGTTAGGTGGGAATAGTGTGACCAACAGCTAATTTCGAAGTCACATCTCGCAGTCATCACCTAACGTGTATCACCCTTTCGTCGTGTGAAGATACTATAGGTGGTTGAAAGACCATACAACACAAAGGGCTTTATTACAGAAATATATTAGTTAGAGTGGGTACAAGCGAAAGTTCAACCACCACCACATGGGTCAGACCATGGTTAATGATCAACTGATGCGCGTTGGTTGTCCGCGACCTTGACAAGGATCGATGAAATGTTCCACATTCAGTGACTCAACTGCCGTATGAGCTGGATATGGCTCAGTGAATTTCACTAGCCATACATGGTGAACAACTAACAAGGACAGATACATGAGTTTAATAGTACAAGCTACGTTAACGCTATAGTCAATATGGATACAATATAGAGCTAGAAAGTCTGTCTGACATAATTGGATTTTCTGATTTATTCTCTTACGAACGCGCTTTTGCATACATGGTTATGAAGTGAGAATGTAAGTGATATGTGGTGACTGAACACGAAGATTGATAAGGTAGATGCATAATTTTTTATCTCCGCAACCATTTGACTAATTGTGGCCTACAAAATTTAACGCGTGCTAATTAAAAGGACAGTGGTATTTTTCTTCGCTGAGTGTATTCTATTGTTTTGATCGTTTATTACGTATCAAGACTACTGTTTTCACTGAATTTATTTCAGTTAAAGTGTTCGATCAGATTGTCGTTTCGCTTTCTAAAGTAGTTTGTCGTCGGTACTTTTAAGTATTTTTTTCCATTGTATCTATTAGTACTTTCGGTTCTAACAATCTACAGTTTTCCACTTTTTGGGAAATAAATCATTTTTGTTTCTGAGTATTATTGCATCTACTTTTTTTTAAAAAGACTCCTGTTTGATGACTGGACAGTGCAAAAAAAGTAAATGCCAACATCCAGGCTGTCGTCATCCCATTGAAAGCAGCATGCAGTGCGATGAGTGCAAAGGCTGGTACCACGAAGTTTGCACGAAGTTTGCACGAACTTAATGCCTGCGGCTTTTAAACGGTTCAGTAAAAACGGTTGCGTATGGCTCTGTAAACAGTGCTGTTCGGATGTAAACAGCTCGCTAACCGAGGCGATCTCATTTGTAAATGCAGCAAAAAAGTGTTTTGGAAAGCGTGATTTGAACGCATCGGGCAGTACTCGTTCTGTCAACACGCAAATTGGTGTAAAGTAGACTCAAGTGAGCTCGGAAACAGCTGTTTCACATCGACCAAAGGAGGAAAAACAGTCTACAAAGCGGTCTGTCTCAACGAAAAACTCAAGAAAAGAAATTTCTTCTGTCCCCCGTCTTCTAAATGGTATCCAGCAGGGAACGCCTAGAAGCCGCAAATGCGAAGCTCGATCAGTTTTTAGCGGGAAACATAACCTGACCTCCCAAATCGTCGACAACCCTCCGGAATCCCACAGTATGTTTGACGCGACTGTGGCTGCTTCTTCAAGCAACGTTGACCATTGGGTACAGGTTGTAAGAATGAAACATCATGACGATATAAAAGGGAATCCTGTCCACATAAAAGTAGTCGAGAAATCGAAGGCTGAATACAGTGACAGCCCATTTGTTTTTTATAGAATCAAGGAGAGTGAAAGCTCTGAACCAAAAACTCGTTTTGAGCATGACATTGTGCAAATTGACTCTACAAAGCCAGACATAATCGCAGTCACAGAAACCTGGCTGACACACTCTATAAATAGTATGGAACTTGATTTCGATGGTTTAACGTTAGTAAGGGCTGACAGAATACAAAAGCGTAAAGGAGGGTGAGTAGCTCTGTTCATTAGGAATGCTATCCCACTCACCATTATCGACAGTGAATTCCATGAGTGTGGGACGTGTGAATTAGTTAGTTGCCGCTTGAAATATAAGGCAAAAGAGTTGCTGATTGGTTTTGTCTATCGCAGTCCAAGCTGTGAGGTAAATGAGATCCTGTTAAGTAGTCTCAATACTTGGAAAGGCTCAAGTGTTCACAAGCTACATTAGCAAAGTATATACCGTCGAAGCTCCCTTCCCGTCAGCGCATAGAAATCCCCTCATACATACACTGGATAGCGTGACCATTAAAGAACTCCATGTCTTAGGTCTGCTAAATAGGCTTAACATGGGTCAATCCACGGGACCCGATGGATTGTATTCTAGGCTACTGAAGGAATTATCTAACTTCGTTGCAAGCCCTTTAAGTACATGCTTTAACCTATCCGTTACGCAGGGTCATTTACCAAAAGACTGGAAAAACGCCATAGTAAGTTTTGTCTTCAAAATAGGTACGAAACACAAACCTGAGATTTACCGCCCCGTTAGCCTAACTAGTGTGGTTGTTAAAATCTTAGAAAAGATTATTCGGAAGAAGCCGTTTAAGTATCTCGATAAAAACCGGATCCTCTCGGAGAAGCAGCACGGCTTCAAAATAGATTATTCATGTCTAACTAACTTATTAGTGGCTCGTGAAAGCTGGTGCGCTCTTAAGGACCAAAAGCTACATGTAGACGTGGCCTTCATTGATTTCAGTAAAGCTTTTGACAAAGTTCCGCACAACCGGCTGTTATACAAGTTAAGAAATGTCGAGATTGGAGGCAAGTTATTGATGTGGATAAAAGACTTCTTAGTTGGGCGTCAACAAAGAGTAGGGGTGAACTCAAAGTTATCTAGCTGGGAAACTGTGCTTAGTGGAGTGCCCCAGGGTACAGTTTTGGGGCCAGTGCAATTCCTCTTGTATGAAAATGACCTTCCTTGTCTCCTATCATCATCGGTCTTGCTATATGCTGACGATGTCAAGAGATGGAGAAAGATACGATGTAAGAGTGATAGCCTAGAACTTCAAAATGACCTGAAGAAGTAATCTGAATGGTCTCAAACCTGGCAGTTGCCGATAAATATTTCCAAGTGTGTTGTGATGCATATCGGTCATCAAGGTACAGATACATACACGATGGATAACACTGAGCTACCTGTCGTCCAGGCATATAATGACTTAGGAGTTATCGTTAGTCAAGACTTAAATATTACTGCGCACTGCCATGCAATATCCGTCAAAGCTTTTGGAACTTTATGGTCAATACGTAGGGCTTTTGTTCATGTCGACGCTAAAACGTTTTCGGCTTTGAATACAGTGTTCGTACGTCCTAAACTTGAGTACTGCATACAAGCGGCTAGCCCCTGCTTAAAAAAGGACAGTGAGCTTCCGGACAAGTTTCAGGGAACAGCAACTAAGCAGATTCTCGGAGTAGCAAAGCTTCCGTATTATGCTCGACTGGCTAAGCTAAACCTTTTTCCGTTGTCATATCGTAGAACTAGAGGCGGCTTGATTACAGTTTTCAGATTGTTTAGTGATAAATTTTCACCTAATATGCCCTCATTTTTCTTGTCTTCCAAAACAGAGAAGTTATGATGACACTCCAAAAAAGTTCACAAGCCCAAAACAAATTACTTGTCAGCTGACTATCGACTTTCCCATCGAATCATCAACGAGTGGAATTCATTACCTTAACACGTGGTTGAGGCTCCATCCGTCGATTCTTTCAAAAGAAAGTTGGATCGACTGAGAGACCACCATTACCAAGACTAACACAGGCCATCAAGTCTCCCGTTCTTTCCAAACTGAAATTGAAATGTTGAATTGAAATGTTAGACAAATGATATAAGAATACGGATTACTAAATAAAAGTACAACAACATATCACACAATCAGGAAAATTTTTTAAAAATTTCGCTTTCACGAAATTAAAGACTTTGGCTTTTTGTGTTGTTTGAATCCTTTACTGTGGGTTGTGCTTTCAGGACGTATTGTTAACTAATATGGCGCTACCTATAAATCAAGAAGAATATGGTAATTGAGTTAAGTGGGATGTTTGATGCTGTAAGTTTACGTTAAAGATATGGAAAACGTGTCAAACAACTTGGCATGTCAAACAAAACCTATCTTTCATTTTTAATATTACCTTATTGTTTTTTAAAAAGGTTAAACAGGTTACAATGTACACAAGTTTTTTTGTATTCGTAAATGCATATATCTTTCATTTATCAGTCTAAATAGCACCCAATTTAGTCACAAAAAAACTGTAAAGTCCGCAGGATTTATAGTTAAGTGTCATTTGCCAAATGTTCAAAACGTCTCTAGTGAATCTATATAAGTTGTACAAGAGGAATTAAATCTTTGAGCAAACTGTTTTGATAACAACTTGTGGTTTATGGGAAACGCTTTAATTGAATGCATTTGACTATCGTTTGTAGTCAGTTGAGAATGTTTTACTCACCCTTACATGATGTAAACATTGGCACTCCAATACTGAAACGAAAATAAGGTTGTGATTAAAGTCTCGTTTATTGGTGACGGGCGAACAAAGACAGTTCAGCCGCTTACCGTTGTGCGGCCGCGGAATTTTGTAACTACTACGTATTGCAACAAACTTGACAGATGGAGTTCTATTTCTCGCATCGAGTGGAGAGTTGCTCGAATTATCAGCCTGTAGTGTCAGTTATTATGGCAAGCCCATATACCTTATTCTAACTTCCGGACATCCTATTTTATTCATTTTACTTGAGCCATATTTTGACCTTGTTAATTATTCGCTTATAAACCTTGACTGTTTTCATATGAGCGTATATGTGTGTACACTTCATATCCCATGATTCATCACATGTCTGTAGTTTATTTTGTCTGCCTATAAATACTGAGTAACGCTTAATTAAAATGGAGTTGGCTTCCCAGCCATCTTCCATACGTGTGATTTTTGCTTTGCTGTGCTTCATTCGCTTCATGTACAAAATATATGTATTCACAAATCAATTCTCGTTATTCGACTTATTTAATTCCGTTATGGACTAACGCGATTCAAGTCTACGATGATAAATGAGAATAAGCGATAGCAAACATTTATACGATCTTGGAGTCAAAACTACGGGCCACCACCACAAGCCGGAGTGCTTAATATCAACATATTAGGTTGACTCATCCACAAAGGGACCAGATCTTTACAGTGCTATACGTTGAAAGAAACAATATTGGTCGACTGACCTCTGATTCCTACCAGTGAAGACGGAAGACCACTGAAGACCATAAACCTCGACGTGTTGTTTTGAAGGACATAGTGTCGAATTTTTTTCGTTGTGTCTAAATACTCTTGTGTTGGTTCAAAGCAGATCTAAACCTTCCTAATTTATCAGCTAATGTGCTCCTCATGTGGTTTTTCGACTTCAATTACTTTCGTTCTAAGTTTCGTATGAATGTTCATATTGTTTTAGTCGGCTAAATGAAGTTAAATACCTGTTTAATTATCTACAAACAATTAGAAGTTTTAACTGGATATAAGTAAAGTTTGAATGTATCAAGGAAACGTCCTATAAATTACCGTCAGCGAGACACTAGGTTTTCAACGAATTTCGATAACGTTGAGATCATTATCCAGTTTCTATACTCTCATCGTTACTTCAGACTATGTCTTTTGTTTGTAGTATTTAGAGGATTTGTTCACATCTCGTTCGTTCAAACTATCGCAAAATTTTCGTCAACCTTGAAGAGTTGGTGCCTGACAAAGTCTCTCCTCTGGTTCAGAAATTTCGTTTAATTTTTGGTAGGTAGTGCCACTTTCGTTGAAGGCGAGACAATCATCTGTCAACTAAAGAAAGATTTTGCCTCTCATCAGCCCCCTTGTTCTTTGTTGACGTAAAAAATTGGCCTTTATGAATAAAGAACATTCAAAATTCGCTAGGGTTTGGTCACGAGTGTCATTGAACGAGTAGTGATGAGGTTATATATGGAGCCCTAACCAACAATGGAAAATCGGTTGGTGAGATGATTAGTGTTCGCCGACTTAGGTGGTTAAGATATGTACCAAGTTTGCTTACAAACTGTCTACCTAGACATACGACGTTTATTTTTGTAGGGACAGGTTAAAAAAGCCAGGGGAAACAAATCAAGACATGGAGTCAGTCCATAAAGTCGTCGACCGTTGATCTGAGCCATGTTGGTAGATACTGACTACTTGGTTAGGATGTGATTGACTACTATAGCCAATGGTCAGAGACTTTAGGTTAAATGGCTTGAAATCACTCAAAGGGAGGCAGATGAGTGTAATCTCTATCTTTCGTGTCATAATTTCTTTATGCCTACTTTTTTACTCCCCGTTTTCGAATCATATTCTTGACTTTTAGTTCATCCCACCATTATTATTATATTATCCGGCGTCTTATATTACTCATCTTGCTAACTTCCTTCTGATATGGCTTAGACGACTACACAAGCGAACGAGGTCACATTTTGATGATACTTGCTTGTGCTGTATTCTTCATGCAGAGAATTTTTAAATCACAGCACCTTCATGTTTTGTTAAGTTGTTCTAGGTCTCACATAGCGCTTCCTATTGAAGTTGATGTCTTGGACGTTTTATGAATTTTCTTCAGACCGAATTAAGTAACAGACAGTTTCAACCACATATACAGTTTAGATAAACAATTCAAACTAGCTAAAACACTTCACATGTAATGCAAGTAAACACTCAACCGGTTGTTTTAAGTTTAAATATAGGTACACATTGCCAAAAATACTCTACTGTGCTCCTTAATTGTAAGCGATTATCACTAAAAAGGTTCATTTACTATGTAATTTGGTATATTTTTAGAAGTCGTGTCTTGATTTACGGGTGGTATTAAGTAATAAGAATCATGTGAGTTTTCAAAAGATGAGTATAGATAACTCGTATTACCACCATCTGTATGATACTTTAAAGATAAAATAGTGCATTCAGATTCTGGTGGATTGAGTTGTCTGAAGAAATAAAATATTGCCAGATATGGGTTTTGGTACAAATTTGATCAGCGTCTGTGTATAAGTCATAAGGCCTCGAGTTTTTCGTTATGCTGGCCTATTTATCGTCTTTTGGTGAGGCTAGGCAACATATGTATGTATATGTCCATATTACTTTGGTAAGATGTTGATAAAAGTCGTTTGTCTTTTGTAGATTAATTATTTTGCATTTCTTTGTGTAACAGTGTCCTTTGAATAATAGGTCTTGTATTAGGATAATATTCATTAAGTAAAATTCTAGGCATAATTATTTACCTGATGGGACAAGCTACTTATTGGAATGCCTGAAGAAATTCCTAGGAAATGAAAGAAATACTTTACTACAGGGAGATGTTTTTACGATTATCTACCATAAATCATGGTGAATAATACTAAAACCAAGTTATATACCTCCTCTCATGATTCCTTAAAGCAGTATCGAGTACGAACGACTGGCAGTTATTATTGTATGAAGGCTGGATAGTAGATGTGAGTATGAGAGCCTTGAGCAGTTGAAAATTAACCACAACGGACTCGCTTATTTGAAATACATTCTGTTACTGATCATTACAGGAAAATCCAATTCAAAGTATCAATAATTCTGCATTCTTATACATGTTGCAAACTATTTGAGAAGACTGCTTATGAGCAAAGATGAAATCTTTGTTTGTATGTCATAACTGGAAAAGTAAAAGCAGCCGTTATAATCTCGAAACAATTTAAATTTTCGCTAGAATTTCGCTTTCAAGACCGGAGCATTTGTATCGTAATATGTAACTCACACCTTGGCTTGATGAGGTTACATTTCACGTAAAGTTTACTGTAAATTAGAATAAAATATAATTATGCCATATAATTTCGGAAATGAAATGCTGACCCCGAGTCAGTAGAACTTGATACAAATGTTTAATTAGTTGACAAGATTCGGACACTTTTTAAAGATTGCATAACGCTTGCCTAGTCAACGTCTGCTCAGACATCCTATCAGAATTGATGTGAGAGTAGACTGTAGTAAGTGAAGACAACTCAGTTCACTCGACCACTGATTTGTTGGTGCCTATGAGGCAATTGTAATCTTTGGTTAAAAACTTTCTGCGTGTTAAAACTTGATCAACAACTTCAGTATAGACTGATCCTTTTGCATTGAGTATTGCATTATTCTAAATTTAACATCCTACAACCTCATTTGTCTAGTTTTGCATAGCTACTTATTTTTGCATTATTCTCTTATCTCACATTGCTTATATTCCACTTGTTATCAGTTTGATCATTTATTTGCATAACTCCTGGAGTTCATTGTGGCACTCACAAATAATTTGAACGATAAATTGTCAGTAGTGCATGACATGGAATATTTGCCAATATAGTTAATTTTTAGTAATTCACCGTAAATCATCTTATTTTGTAATATATTATCATTGGGGAAAATTCAGGGTTATTCTGGTTCACAACAACCTCGTTCATCATCTTATCTGTTATCATCAACGACATCATCAACCTCAACGTTCATTACACCCAACATACATGATTCTTCACCTTCGATAGCTGATCAAACTAATGCAACTGGTATTACCTCCACTTCTGTTACTACAACCATTACTACTACTACTACTACTACTACGTCGAACACATCTACGTCTAGGAAATCAACTTATACACTCGGAAAAGAAATTGAAATTGAATTAGGTAAATCAAATATTTTAGTGCTATACATTGTGTTAATAGATTGTGATATAATCGATGTGAAGCAAAATTATTAATATTCCGTAATTGACATATTCATATTATTAGTGAATGACTGTTCCAACTACTAGTGATTTAGTTCCATGTTATTAATTGTCGACGGATTCGTACAGTGCATTTCGACTGAGACTACAAAGTAATGATCGTATGGTTTAAATATGTATATGATTTACTGAAAAGGTCAGATGATAATATCTAGTGATAATATTTAGTAGCAAATTTATATTTAAAATGATTTGTCGAATAAATTTATTGATACACGAATAAAGGACCATCCAATATTATCTTTAAAGTTTTAAACTCTAGAGGTAAATCTACAGTATGTTTGATGTAATTTTTGCAGCATAATTTTTAGATGTATATATTTTCCAGTAGTTTGTTTGATTAGCATATGGTATCCATCACTGGTTAACCTAGATTGAAGGTACACTTGACATTTACGCAGCGCTTGGGCAACTTTACAATTAGTACAGAATTCTCTAGCAATCGACACTGATGATACTTCAAGGGAGCGAACCCAGGACTTTATAAATATTTTCGTGCCTATATTTCATTGTGTCAACATCTCATTAGATTTTCCTTCTTTTTACTTTGTGCCAGTAAGTATTTGAGAAGATCGACAGTTTGATAACTGAGATGAATTATACATTGCTCTTCCTAAACCTTTTTTTAATCGTAATTAACCGATAAGCGATTTCCGTTATGAAACATTTCATTATAGATTATGTCGAATGCAATATTTAAATACAATCTGTTAGGACAATTCGTGCACATAATTTTTTAGTGTAGGTAATCCAAAAATGGAAAGGTAGATCGAAAGTTTGACGAGGCTTTCATTGTCGTATTTTGGAACTAATGTGTTTAGAATGTGGTGTGAACAGAGTAATAAAGAAGCCGTGATGAACAACGGAAGCTATTTTTGATGACTTTATTTCACTCCATTCAAAGCCTGTAATTTACTAACATTTAGTTTTGTCACTAGGTCATTCATTAAACTATAAGCTTTAGTTTGGTGTATGGTACACTATCACACCCTTTCCTGTTCCAAAGCTATTGTGATTTAAGCGTAACCTTTTGTAACCTATTTTTCTACACTAATGCCTAGTTTGTACATAATTATATTCTTCTAACTGTTTGTGCATTGTGGTCATGTTAGTCATCTATTTATGCATAAATTCTCTTAAATTACTCAGAATCGGCAATCAGGATTAAATTGAGTAGTGTTCAAGTTGATTCGTTTTCTCTCTCTCTCTCTCTCTCGCGTGTCAACCAATCAGCTGATAGTCATCAATGTACACTTCTGGGGAATCCCATGCTAAGACGAAACAGAAGTCCAGTGCTTTTAAGTTTTTCAACGGTGATTTTACATTGATCAGTTTTCAATCTCAATAATTATGCTTAATTATATTACATTTTTAAGTGTTTACTATTCTATATGAATAATTGTCAATCATTGTTATTTTCATTTGTCTGTTTTTAAATCTTTTAACCCTATTTTACATTTAATTTTGTTAAAATTTAATTATCTCAACACTGTTGATAATAATAGTAATAATTAGTTTTTATTATTACTATTGTATTCATCCATTTATCTCTCATATGATCGATAAGTTAATTCAGTTAGCCAAATTTATTCGTTTAGGGCTATTCTTATTTTAGTATTTTGTAATGATACAGATATTTTACTATTTTTTTTTCAGTTAGTAATTATTACAATAATTCCGTTTTTACTGGACAACTGACACACCATACAAATACTTAATATAAACATTAAAAAAAAATAGTGATCGAAATAGGGGAACTAATTACTTAACCATGTGTATTTGAAAAAAACAAACAAACAAACAAACAAACAAACAACAACAACAACAACAACTGAAGAATCCTAAGAAAAAAATAAAGAAAAAATTCTTATCTATGAACACATGATTTCTATTATTTTGTTTTTTTCACGTCATATTTTCGTCTTATATCAAATTCATTAGAAATAGGAACTAGAAGTAGAAAAGTCAATATGTATTGATTTATATCAGTAAAGGGGTTGTGTAGATTATTAAATTTTTGATTGAGATCATGAACCGATTGACATCAGACCACCGTTGGAAACCTGGATGCACTGGATGGCCGTTTCGTCCTATTATGGAACTCTTCAACAGTGTGCATCTATGATCCCACTCGCGTGATTCGAACCCATTACCTATCGGTCTCGCGTGCGAACGCTTAACTAACTGGACCACTGAGCTGGGATTTAATAATGTTAGTGTCTAAAGTCAATTAATCCACGAAATTTCGCGTCCATCTTCCATTGTACTGAGGTAGATACCTGTCTCTACCCGACACGAAATGGCCGTCCATTGCTTTCAGGTTTCCAAAGGTGGTCTAACATCAATCGGTTCATGATCTGAATAAAAAAATATTGATTTGTGTTTTTGATCATTTATTTGCATTATCTTCTTTGATATTATAATATTAAGTTTAAAAAAGTATTTAGTTTTAATGTACGTAAGCTCACAATAATTTGACAAAGTAACTCGATCATATATCTCCTTAATATTTCGGTTACATTTATATTACTAAAATTAGTTAGCTGAGCTGTATAATCTCAATATCGTTTGATTCCATAATATTCTTGTTAGAATAGAAACAACAACTTAATTTTATTTCATTTTCGCATGTTACTTCTCATAGGGGAGTATAGGTCAACCATCAGGTTTCTCCATGCAAGTCTGTTCTGGGCGATTCTTTCCAGTTGTTTCTAACTGCTATTTATCCTTTTCATATCTACTTCCGATTCTCGAAACATTGTGTTCTTTGGTCTTACTCTTTTCCTTTTCCTTCTTGATGCAGTTTGATTACTTCCGTAATATATGTCCTATTCACTTCCAACGTATTTTTTAATTTCCCTTCGCTGAAATCCGTGTTTTTAGTTTTTAATGTTTAAATGGGATTATCTGTCAACCTCTGATTTACCATTTATATGAAAGCTTAACAACAATTAAGCAAATTAAATACTAATTCTAAACATGATAATTACAAATAGAGTTATTTACGTTCATGATGTGTTAAAAAATGTTATTCATGTTATATTTTGTTATTAAGTAATATATTTAAGATTTAATGGTTTCAAAAAAAATTGACATAACAGTATTCGTAATCAGAGAGAGGTTTTTTGGACAATATAGCAATTTAATAGTTGAGATCATGAACCATTATTGAAAGCCTAGAAGCAATGGACGACCGTATGGGACTCCTCAGCAGTGCGCGTCCACAATCACGCCTCGCGAAATTCCCACCCAGAGCCTATCAGTCTCGAGCGCGAGCGCTTAACTCCGGACCACTGAGACGGTGTTCATTAATTTTTAATAAAAAAATCCATCATTCTTGTTTGCATATTAAATTTTATTGATCTCAGATTGAATATTTTTTCAAAGGATGCTTTTTATATCAGATAAAGTTTTTAAAAGAGTACAAAAATCATTCTGAAGCTTAACCAAAATAACTTTTTCTAAAGTTGTTAATGTGAAATGGAAGCATTTTAAGTTAACTTTTTGGATCTATGCACAAAATTACAGAAAAAAAGTTATAAGATACAATATAAAACATACTTAATTCTTATTCTTTCTTAATAGTTCGATTAAATAGTTTCAATTTTAAAAATAATTAGTTAAGATCATGAATCGACCGATGTTAAACAATCATTGAAAACGTGGAAGCACTGGACGGTCATTTCGTCCTAGTATGGAGCAGTTATCCACCAAAGACAATGGATGGTAGCGCAATTTCGTGAATTAGTTGAAGTTAGACATTAACACCGTTGGATGTCAATTCAGTGGTCTAGAGGTTGAGTGTTCTTGTTAGAATAGAAACAACAACTTAATTTTATTTCATTTTCGCATGTTACTTCTCATAGGGGAGTATAGGTCAACCATCAGGTTTCTCCATGCAAGTCTGTTCTGGGCGATTCTTTCCAGTTGTTTCTAACTGCTATTTATCCTTTTCATATCTACTTCCGATTCCCGAAACATTGTGTTCTTTGATCGATTCACGATATCAAGATAACTGATGTAATGATTATTTAAGAATAATGATAATTAATATTTCGACAGAGAAGGTTTAACAACACTTCAGAAAATTAACATGAAATAATAAACATATAAGGTTTATGCAATACACAGTGTGTCAGTGATCAGTTTTAATATGTAAATAGAAAAGAAGAGATATGACTTGAACATAAATTAAAAACAAATAGTGATGAACTTTGTAAAAGGTTCCATTAAATTTTCTCTGAACAAAGAAAAATCAATTGTATTTTGGTATTCTTTTAAAATGTAAAGATCAAGGTTGTTCGATAGAATCTGTATGATTTCCAGCATTTATAAAAGTTGAGATCGAATCAAGATTCTCATCAACATTCAAATTCCTTTGAATATTGTGATAAATTTTATCTGTGCATTATGAATACGACTGTATTTCAAAGTAATTCACAAACACTTAACATAGATTCTCTTATTGTGTTCACTCTATTCAATTTTATAACTGTTCAAAATAAAATTATAAATAACTTATCTACTTATCTATTGAAACAAAACTTACAAAGTACAATATTAATACAATTTATAATTTATAGAATATTTGTATCACTGTATTACATAACTGAAATTGTACACGAACGAAAACTACATTCATACTCATTATATACTTAGATTATGAGTTTAAAAAACAAAACTCTTCTGTTATTCTAATGTTATTCTAATCAACGTAAATTAATGTATCAGAAATGTTTCTGTGAAGATTGTAGTAATTTCAATAGATGAGATCATGAGTCAATTGAAGCTAGACCATCATGGTAAACCTGAAAGCATTGGATGGTTGTTACGTCCTATTGTGGAACTACTCAGCAGTGTGCATCCACGACCCTGCCTTGCAGGATTCGAACACAGAAC